TTAAACTAGCCTCTTTTCAGTTAAACCTGTGGTGAGCCGATTCGTGTGAGGTGTGTTGAATTACTTTGATACTCCTAGTGACAGACTACATCAACAATCTGAATACATTGTTTGTCCAACTTTCAACAACAAATTTCAACATAGTTAAAAATGAGTGTGCAGAACTTCTCCTTCAGAGTTTACTAGATTTGTATGATCAACTTATCATCAATATAATGAATAATAATATTAATGGACATTTACACATTGATGATGTTGTTAGAGTTATTCTTAAAGAATAATTCAAGAAAAAAAGTAAGATGGAAAGTCTGAACTAAGCAAAAACTTTGACAATGATAAAATATAGATAAAAAAAAATATGACTCCAGTGGAGGTTAACACGTATTGGAAGAAATAATCTTATTTTTTACCATTGTGGTAAAAAAGGGCATGCCAAGAAATATTGTTGGCTTTGAGTTACATGGATTGAAGTTTGTTATAGTAACTATAAAAAGAAAACACATATTGAACTTGATTTATTTTGATGTGTTGGAATTGTCGATATTATCCTTAGGAGGGACAAGATATTTTGAATTAGTGAGGATAATTACTCTAAGAGATTATAGGTATACGCAATAAGAGGAAGTTTGTGTTTTCAAGTAGGGAAAATTCTTGAATTGTGCTAAACTGTGAAAGGGTTTTTCTACTGGAATCTCACTACCCACAAGGTTATTGTTAATGGGATGCAATATTATTTTTCTCCGTGGTGAACTTTGAGAAATGATTTGTATGCTTTAATCGGAAGACTTTGAAAAAAAAAGAAAGCTTGGTTTTTCTATACAATCTAAAGCACACGCCCATGTGTTATTATAAGATATTTGATTCTTCATGAATACCCTTATTTAAAATAAACTTATTACAATAGATTTGACGAAAATGATTTTATCATTTTATCATTATATGTGGATGACATATTGATGGTAGGTCACAATAAAGATCAAATACAAGTTTTAAAGACACAGTTGGTTAAAAAGTTTGTTATGAATGACTAGGGACCAATAAATAAAATTTTAGGGATGCAAATTTACCGATACATAAAAGATAAAAATGTTTGTCTTTATTAGAAGAATTACTTATTAAAGGTCTTGCGATGCTTCAATATGCAAGAATGTAAGCTAGTTTCTACCCCACTTTCTATTAAGTAAATTATGATTAAGTAGAAGTCCTAGAAATGCAGCCAAGAGGATGGTAATGTCTTGAGTACTATATACATCGACAGTGAGAAGTTTTATAAATATTATAATCAGTACAAGATCAAATATTGCACAAGCAGTGAGAGTGGTTAATAGATTCATGACAAATGATGGTGGAGAACATGGATTTTATTAGGAGGATCCTTATCAAAGTAATATTGGATGTTGTTTTATGTTTCAGATAATCATAAATAGTTGTCGGAGACTATATTTGTTCAGGTTTTGCACATGATTTTGACGCATCTACCCTTGTTGAAGAGACAGTTAGTTAGTTATCCAAGTTACAAAATGTTGTAACTCTATCTAATACAAAAGTTAAGTACATGGTAGCCAGCCAACATGTGAGGAAGTTATTTAGATTAAAAGGTTAATGTAGGAACTCAGACACATGTAATAGAAGATGCGTCTTATAACTTGCAATTTATTATGGCAGTCAGAGTGTCTTGCACATTGCAAGAAATCCTACCTTACATTCCAAAATAAAACAAGAAAAACTTAGCAAATGTTAGACAGAGTCGGTTAGCAATGATAAGTTTATATGAGATCAATTCTACTGAAGGTCTATTGCGAAAAAATAGTAACATGGAAGACAATAATAATGTGCGTTAAAAATTTGATTAATTTAATTAAAATCTTCAAGTGTGATAATGTGAGAAAATAAGTCTCACTTAAGAAAATTATATATTAGTGCTTATACTTTTCTCTGTTATAAGAAAAACACAGTATTTATCTTATAAATAAACTCAAATCTCTTCATTCTTTTTGTAACTATTGTATTGCATTGCATTAAGTTCTCTTATTTCTTATAGATGATATTATTATTTTTTCCTTATATTTTAAAGAGGATATTGTAATTTCTTTGGTAAAATTTTATTATTGCATATTCTCAATTTTATTCCTCATATTTTATTTTAATTATGAGTTTTTATGCATTCATTTTGATTACAAACTGTTTATATGTACTTTTCTCTTTCAACCTACTAAATTATATTTTAAAGACAAAATTATAATAAATTAAGATTCTAAAATATATAATACCTTAATCATGATAATAAACCTTAACAATATTATCATTACACATGTAAGAAAGAGATTATCATTACATATATAAGAAAGAGATTATCATAACGGTCATGAAAATAAGGTACTCTCATTTTTAGATGAAATATATACTTAATTTTACTTTTTAATATTATCATAAACGTTCAAGCAAGTGATTTGTTTTTTATATTTTATTTAATATTTCTTAGCATTTCCTATTTTTCTTCCTAATTAAAAAAAAGAACTTTTTAGTTTATCAATACCAATAATAATATGTTATTTATATTGTTAACTATATATATATATATATATATATATATATATATATATATTACTTTTTTTAATAAAATATTTCATCAATCTCTCAAAGTCAAATTTTATTTTAATCTTCCATGTTAAAGAAAAAAAATTTAGCCTCATATGTATTATTCATCATTTTATTTTCTTAAATTAAAATTGATTTTTCTAATCCCAAAATTTCAAATGATTTTCTTAATCTTTAAATTAAAAAAAATGTATTAAAATATATAACTTAAAACTAAATATGAAATTTTTGTTTTCATTCAACTCCTTTACGAAAAAAAATAAGGGTGAAATTCTATTTAAAAAATTAACCCATAACATATATATATATATATATATATATATATATATATATATATATATATATATATATATATATCGATATTTTCGTATTATGCATATAGGTTTAAGTAAGTAGTAATTTGTTTCCAAACAATTTTTGAGATCTACTTATTACAATAAAACATTGTATTTACACAACTACTTGAAACAAAACATAAGTCAAAATTTCATAACAATAGAACAAATAAAATAAAAAGATAGAAGATAGAAATGAACTACATCATCATAGTAGTAATAGAATACAGAAATAACTGTTATAATAACACAAGCAGAATGAAAAAGAAAAAGACAAATAAAAAAAAATTACAATTAAAATTGCCGTTTTGTTTTACAATATCTGAGATTATTTTCATTGAATATATATATATATATATATATATATATATATATATATATATATATATATATATTATGGAAACGATTCTTAAGAATTAAAATAATTTTCTTTTTTTATTAAAAAATACTTGTTAATTTGGAGACTGAAATAATATTTTAAATTTAGAGGACTAAAATTTAGTTTTAAAATTGAGATACTTAAATATCAATTTTGTATTTTAATGACTAAAAAATAAGTTTTTAATTGAAAGATTACAATATATTTTGATTTGATTCAAATTATAAAAATTTAAAAATAATTAAAAGAAAATATATAATTATTGTTATTACTCGTGTCATTATTAACGTAAATATCATTAATTATATCAATGTAACATTATTAATATTGAAGAACTAAAAATTCAAAATTAAGAACTTAAAAACTAAGTTTTAATTTAGAAGAGTAAAAAAGTACCCAAATTTGAGAAGAAAAAAATAACATATTTAAGTAATGTCTACAAACTATTTTTCTTAAAACAAGGTGCTTAATTGTCAAGAACATTCCATTCCTATTCCTTAATAAAAGTAAACGCTGCATACGTTATTGTTTGACTAGTACATTGGATTTAATGGTATGATTTCACGATTCTTTACAGTTCAGAAAGCAAGTTTCACACCCACATGAGATAAATACATATATAGTTGGCTATTGTCTGCTTCCAAACCACAAAACATTTTATTTCCAGGAAAAGAGTAATCTGAAAGTGTGAGCTCAAAATTCTGTCAAAATGTTACGAAGTGAGGGATGAGATGAGCCACAAATTAAAACCTAACTGTAGTTAATTAGCATCAATTTAAATGAAAACTGTTCGATGACATATTAATCAATTGCATAAACAAAATGCCAATTAAGTCGATACCTTAAAATTGTGCCATTCTCTTCTCTCTCATATATCTCGTTTTACCCACGTGGGCTTGCTGTTGGCTCTTCGTGCCAACTTTGACTTGTCTCCCCTTCTCAATTGTGTCTCCTGATATTTCGATAGTTGATTGTGAGGCTCTCATTCATTACAAAAGGGGAAAAACATATGTATTCAAAGATTTTTATTTCTATACATTTATCATAAAATATTTTCATTTTTAATAATATTAATGTCTTATATTATTAAAATGGTCATTATATAGCAATAAAAATATTATGCACATGATGAAATGATAATATAAAATAAATCTTTTTCGTTATATATAGAAAATTATTGTAAGACCAAAAATAAATTTATCTTTTTTGCTTTTCGTTTCCTCAAAAGATAACAAGATTGCTTGAAAAAGAAAATTAGCTTCTCTTTTCACTAATTATAGATTGTATTGTTTTAGTAATTATAGAAAGAAATAAAAATGTTAAAAAGCATAGTGATTGCATCTAATGTCCGTGACGGGCCCACGTCGGCACAGACACAACACGATGACAACTACTACTCCGCAATACATATCTATTCTAATATTGTTGGTCTGAGCGAACCATTTATGTGGCCAAGAGATAACCACGTGTCCCAAATTGATTCGTCATCACCTAGATTTCCTCTCTGCTACTAGTGACTAATATAGATAATAGAAAAACCGCACCCAAAGAAATCAACTCAACTCACTCGACTTCACGTTCAAGTCGCTCTGATTCTATTCCATTCCACTCCTTCGGTGCGAACGAGAGAGTAATACCGTTAGATTAGCCGCGTTTTTCAAAAGTGTTTTTCGCTGTTCTTCATAGATATGGGAATTGAAAGAGGAGGTTTAAAGGGGTTCAGGAGCGGCTGGAGCGTGCCGCCGAAGCCATGTGACTCCTGCAAGCTGGCTTCGGCGGCGCTTTTCTGCCGCCCCGATTCCGCGTTTCTCTGCATCGCCTGCGACTCCAAGATTCACTGTGCCAACAAGCTGGCTTCGCGCCACGAGCGCGTCTGGATGTGCGAGGTCTGCGAGCAGGCCCCCGCCGCTGTCACGTGCAAAGCCGATGCCGCCGCCCTCTGCGTCACGTGTGACTCCGACATCCACTCCGCCAACCCCCTCGCGCGTCGCCACGACCGCGTTCCCGTCGAACCCTTCTTCGACTCTGCCGACTCCATCGTCAAGGCGTCTGCCGCCGCCTCCTTCGGCTTCATCGTCCCCTCCGACGACGCCTCCGCCTCCGACGCCTTCGCCACCGACGACCCCGATGCCGCCGCCTGGCTCATCCCTAACCCCAATTTCGGGTCCAAACTCATAGACGCCCCTGACATCAAGTCCAAGGAGATCTTCTACTCCGAAATGGACCCCTTCCTTGATTTCGATTACTCTAACTCCTTCCACAACAACAGCGCCGGAAACGACAGCGTCGTTCCAGTTCAAACCAAACCATCCCTCGCTCCTCCCCTCATCAATAACCACCACCAATCGGAGAGCTGCTTCGACATCGATTTTTGCCGCTCCAAGCTCTCTTCCTTTAACTACCCATCCCAGTCTATTAGCCAAAGCGTGAGTAATATCTGTAGTAACGAATTTTTATAAATGATGTATAGATGTTTGGTCTTGCAGTGAATTGACTCGACAATTAAATTATGTGACAGGTTTCATCATCGTCGCTTGATGTTGGAGTGGTGCCGGATGGGAACACGGTGTCGGACATGTCCTACTCGTTTGGTCGGAACAGTTCGGAATCAAGTGGGATTGGTTTGTCCGGAGTAAGTGGAGGGCAAGGGGCGACGCAGTTGTGTGCGATGGACCGTGAAGCGAGGGTGCTGCGATACAGAGAGAAGAGGAAGAACCGAAAGTTCGAGAAAACCATTCGATACGCATCGCGGAAGGCTTATGCGGAAACCCGGCCCAGGATCAAAGGCCGGTTCGCGAAGCGAACCGAAATTGACTCGGATGTGGAGCGTCTCTATAGCCCTGGCGCTGCGTCGCTGATACTGGACAGTCCATACGGCGTCGTACCATCGTTTTAGTGACCAAGAAAGAGGGAACGATGGAGGGAGGGTGCATGAATCTTGTTTGGGAAATCGTAGAATAATGATTAGTGATTCTGTGGGATTGATTATTAGAGAAAAAGGTGAAGAAGAATCGGTACGAACGTGATTCTTAGCTGGAAGCGATGGGGAAGTTGTTTTATTACGAGGGAGGTGAAGATTTGTCTGGATGGACCAGAAAAGCCCGTTTACTTTTTTTTTTTTTTTAAAGAACTTTAAAGGAGCTGCTGCTTTGTATTCACCTCGTGTAGAATTAGAATCTGTACTGTAAACTCTTTTCACTGCCTTGCCTTACCTGCTGTCTTTTTTTAGTATAAAAGTGTCTTTTTTCTATCACCCGGATCACGGATCTCTTTCCCCATTCCTATTGGCTGCCACTCCCAACTAATATATATATATATATATATATATATCACTCTTTTATTGCATTATCTCATCAAAGCCTTCTTTTTCTAACGGCTTGTATGCATTCCAAGGTCACACCAACCCTCAGCTTTCGATTTCCTGTTATTCCTTTTCTAAGTACTTCTGCTTTAATCTTTTATGAAAATATTGTTCACCATTTTAATTTCAAAGAGTATAAGTATATTTCATAGTTACTCTTTTGCTTTATTAATTACCTTTTAATATATTTATTTTACTAGCAAATGATAAATTTAAAAATAAATAAAAAAGCCTAATCCTCAATGTGGATTACCTAGTGATGGATTATTGATATATTTAATTCGAACTGTTATCATGGTGTTAGTGTGGAATCGAGAAGCTCGATCGAGAAATGAATCGAAAGGGAACTTTCCTGATGTCCGATTATAAAGAACGTGACACATAAAATCGAAAGGTAAAATCGGAAGAGAAGGTGTAATAGTCGAAAGCTTAACATGGAGTTAAAGTTAAAATAAATCGATACCAAGGATGCAAAGTTCTCGATTAAATCAAAGGGAAGGCTCGTTTTCGTAGATATCATAACCTCTGGTTAAACCTTGAAGGAAAATAGTCAAAACGCACGCATGGAAAGCAGTTTTAAGTTATGGAAGAGCCAAAAATCATGGGAACGTGGGGAAACAATAGAAGAAAAACTGCCATACGCACGTAGAACGTGGTAACAGTCGTGTTAACTCGTTCTTGGAAGGCTTGAAAGATGCCCTATAAATAGAGCAAAGAAGGAAGGAACGGGGGAAATTGGCAGAGAACGAGAATCGAGTAGTGAAAAGTCTACCTGAGAAACGACGAACACCATGAAGTTTCTGCGATCTGGATTTCCTTGCTCACTGAGTACATTTATCGCTTTCTATATTTTCCTTGGTAATTTACTTTCGAGCCATTTCAATTCAAGCAATTTCATATTCTTGTAGATTACATTCAATGTCATTTCGATTTCCTGTTATTTACTTTCTGTGCAATTTTAATGGGTTTTAGCAATTTACATTTTCCGCACATTTCGATTTCCTGTTATTTACTTTCTGTGCAATTTTAATGGGTTTTAGCAATTTACATTTTCCGCACATTTCGATTTCCTGTTATTTACTTTCTGTGCAATTTTAATGGGTTTTAGCAATTTACATTTCCCGCACATTTCGATTTCCTGTCCTTTATTTATCTCGCAAACTTAATTTCTTGCAAATTCTGGGTTTTCGCACTTTCTTGCAATTTAATATTCTCTTTGCTCGATTCGATACTTTACTCGTTTTGTTTGAGTCAAGCATTTTAGACATAAAATACCAAAAACCACATTTTCGATATCCTGTAGTTTTCAATTCTCATACGCGTTTTCGATTGAAAATCAAATTGCTAGCCTAAGTAAAAAGAACTTACGTGGTAGAATTTTGATTAGGACCAAAACACCCTTAGAATCGAAATCGATCGAAATTCCACCAGAAACAAATTGGCGCGCCGAGTAGGGGACTTGTGTTGAAAAAACACAAAAGAGGTTAGTTCGAGAGTGTATGAGATTAAGAAGTGGGAGAGTTATAAGAATGAGTCAGAATTCCTCAAGTAGTCAGAATAACAATGAGGGTCTAAGTGGTGTGCTCCCACCAAATACTGGGGGCAAGGGCAAGGGCATAATGGGAGTATACCTGGTAGTGTCGACAACTGCGAGCACGTCGATACCAATAAGTAATGAACAAAATCCAGGTCCATTGGCAAACACCCATGTAGGAGCTAGTATAGCAATATCAAATAATATGCAAACTATGGGAAACCCCATAACCACATATGCAGGGCCATATACTAGTGTAAGACCACCTGGTTTCTTATCCAATAACATGAATGGAACTGGCACTTCATCGATACATAGAAATTCACGATTCAGCTTAGGAATGCCTCAAAACGTAGGTACATTTCAAACCCTAGGCATGCCACAAAACTTTGGAGTATCTACACATTTAGGGGTATCTCAAAATTCAGTGACATCACAAAATTCAGGGAATGGACCAAACTTAGGGATACAACAGACACCTCCAAATCTAGATCCTAGGGGAATCTCGATCATGGGAGATATGCATTTGATAGGGACTTTCATCGATCTAATTTCGAGAATATCGAAAATACTAATACTGGGATTTCCAGGAACTCCCTAGGAATACTTAGACAACAAATGGATGAGAGTAATTTTGAAATGGTGAATATGTTATCACAGCAGTTGACTACGGTCTTAAACCCATTAGTTCAAAATACTACTGCTAGTTTCGAGATATTAGCGGATCAAATGTCTCGAATTGGAGACGCATTGGCTGTACCTCGACAAACGAGGATTGAGAATCATGCCAATCAGAATATTAATCCCCCTTATTTATTAAGAAGGAATCGGAACAATGATCAATATCAGCAAATGGGGAACGAATATCAACATGTGAGGAATGATATTTACGGAAATCTGAATGAGGGATTTCAAAATATTCATAATCAAAATAATACGCAATATAATCACATGTTAGGACAAAGGATGAATTTCCAAGGGACTGGATGTAAGACCACCCAATCAGACATATTTTGTGTCTCCTTTTCCAAATGCGATTCTCGAGACAGAATTGCCTCGAGGATACAAAATACCCAAATTCACTAAATTTGCTGGAGAGGTTGGTGAATCAACTATCGAGCATGTAGCTCGATATCAGATAGAGTGTGGGGACTTAGCAATGAGTGAAGAGTTAAAAATGAAGTATTTCCCTAGTTCCTTGACTAAGAATGCTTTCACTTGGTTTACTTCATTGCCACCCAATTCGATATATAATTGGTTTCAGTTAGAAAGAAATTTCCATGAACAATTCTTTAGAGGAGAAACTCAAGTAAGTCTCATTGATTTGATGAACATAAAACGATATAATCATGAAAACATAGATGATTATCTGAATCGATTTAGACAAATGAAATCAAGATGTTTTACTCAAATTCCTGAATACGAATTAGTCAGGATGGCTTCTGCAGGTTTAGAATTCTCGATTAGGAAAAAGTTGGTAAATTTGCCATTAAATGACATGGCTCAGTTAGCTGATAAAGTGAGGAGAGTGGAACAAATCGAGTATGAGAAACAAAGGCACAAGAAATTTGAGAAACCTGTGAAAAAAGAAAGAATAGCCTATATAAATGATGTGTATGAAGTAGATACCTCGACAGAAACTGATATCGAGGAAAATGTTGATGAGAAAGTAAATATAGCAGAGCTCAAAGTAGGAGCTCCATATACTTGTAAATTGTTGCAAAAGAATGAAGTGAAGGATAAAATGGCAAACCGAACCTACACTTTCGATGTAACAAAAGCAGATAAGATCTTCGACATTCTACTAAAAGATAAACAGATTAAGTTAAGCGAAGATCACAAACTGCCTTCTGCAGAACAAAGGGGTGGTCGAAAATATTGTAAATTTCATAATATTTATGGACACTGGACTAATAATTGTATACATTTCAGGAACACGATTCAAGATGCAATCGACCAAGGAAGACTGAAGTTTGGAGAGACAGCGATGAAAGTGGACACGAGTCCGTTCGAAGTCCAAGTGGGATATATTGAATCCCAAACTGAGATGAAGGATGACGTTAGACTGATGAATGCCACCTTCATAGGCATGGTCGATGTTACTGAAGACATCGATCCCAAGCATACCAGAATGGACGTATCAGAGGAAGATATGGAGTTCGACTTGAACGAATTCGAAAAAGAATTTGAGAAAGAGATATATCCTCGAGCAGGAGACTCCCTCGTTGAATTTTTGAATAGGAAGAAAGAGAAAGACGAAGACGTGTCGCTATGCCCACGGTGCAGTGCGGTTTTCGATAAATCAGCTGCCAAAGCTTTCAAAATTGAACAAACAAAGAAGATCGAGAGTCTAAACAAAAGGAAAAATGATAAAGTGGAGCAAACGGCCCGACCAACTATCGAAGAAAGTCAACAGAAATCTGTTGGTTCTGGTATTAGCGGGAATCAAAGGCAATGGGTTAGAAGAGAGATGTATCCTTCTCGAGGAGGAAGAGGAAGACTTCAAAGTAGTGATGTCTTCGAGAGACTATCATATGATGAAAGATCAAACACTGGATTCCCAACATTCCCAAGAAGATTCCGAGGAAGGCCCTGGAGAAGAGGAGGAAGGATCCCTTACTGGAGTAATTATAGAAATTTTGAAGAGAATATTGTACCTATGGAAAGCCAATATTCAAGGGAATTCTTCGATGATAAGAATGAAGGCAACTGGAACGAACATCAAATCGGAGTGATATCGATATTACCCGCGGAATATGTCAACGAATACAAGGAATATCAGGAACAGAGTGATGCTAATCGAGAAGATGACTTCTATTCAGAAAACATCAGGCCAAAGGTGACATGGGTAACTCAGGCATCGTGCGAAATACCTCATAGAGATGCTGCCTTCATCGACCCTCCATCTGAAGAAATGAGGTTCCACTTGAAGCCTTTACTATTAAACATCGAGATCCAGGGACAAATGGTGAACAAAGTTCTTATCGATGGTGGCGCAGCAGTAAACATATTGCCAATCTCCATGCTGAAGAGGTTTGGCATCGAGCTTAAAGATTTAGTCAAACACAACATTATGATTTCCGATTTCAGCGGAAAAACATCAGGATCAGAGGGTATGATCGCGTTAGACGTGAAGGTAGGTACTTACTCAAGGCCTACTGTATTTGTTGTGGTCCAATCGCACGCCAACTTTAATGCACTACTTGGTAGAGAATGGATCCATGGAGTGGGAGCTGGACCTTCGACAGCTCATCAGAAACTATTTATGTGGAATCGAGATGGACATCTCGAAA